TTTCATATTGCTCACAGTAGAATTAAGCAATTCTGTTGCTCACAGTAGAATTACAAGAAATGTGCCACTTAGATTTCAAAAACAATATGTACTATCCTTAGCAATATGTTGTTGTTAGGTACTATCAAGTCACTTTTTTCTCATCGTGACCCTATATACAACAGATTGAACATTGCCCAGTCCCATGCCATCCTTAGACTCATTGCCACGCATTAGCCCATCATCGCAGCCACTGTGTCAATCCATCTTGTTGAGAGCCTTTTTAGCAATGTATGTACTTATAAACAAAACATTGTGCACTGATGAAATCCTAGCAATAAGATTAGCTACATACGCCATTTGGGATGTGAATTTAATATTCAGCTTTCTTTTGTTTTGTTTAATAATTGGGGGGAAAAAAGTGTGCTCCTGTTATTCCTTCTCATAACTTTGCCATTATAAATTCCTGAGGGATTCTCGTCTGTCTTCAGATGAACGTGGAAGGTGTCCACTGTGACAGGTGCCGGCCTGGCAAATTTGGACTTGATGCCAAGAACCCACTTGGCTGCAGCAGCTGCTATTGCTTTGGTGCTACTTCCCAGTGCTCTGAAGCAAAAGGACTCATCCGTACGTGGGTGAGTAAGGAACTACTGAGCCATGTAATAGTATAATGTTACTTCCTGCTGGCGTCTTTTAGTCAGTCACTGAGGGGTAGTAGGAAATGGGAAAACATTTAAGTAACCTTTTCCCCTGTGTGCATTTAGAAATGGTAAAGGGGCCATCTGCTATTGTGCAGTTGGGGTAGATGTCTTTTTTATTTCTTCTTAAAAATAGTTCATTTATTGTTGATAAGGTAATAGACGTCGAGTGAAAAAGAGAAGCATTGTAAGGGAAGCATTATGCTTTGGGATGGAAAGAAGCTGCATTCTGAAGAGCAGGGGCACCAGAGCATGAATGTTGATATGTGTTAATGTAGCAATGAAACCAGAACTTGTTGCACATTTATTCCAACCAGCCTCAGGGAATCATCAAATTTTAGAAGGAAACATGCTCATTTTTACTTTAGTTTTCCGTTAGCTCTTTCTACTTTTAAAATCTACTTTTGATTATTGTCAATGACTCCAATTTTCACAGATGTCGTGGTTTTCACAATGCAAACATGTCAGAAATATTCAACCACTGCCTCCACATGCCCACTATGCATGAGTTCTGCTTCTTGTGGGAACAGTCCATCAACATGAGGAGAGGGGCTGCATATAAGCATGTAGTCCATAACTAGTTTTCAAGGAGTGCACCTAAAGCCTTGAATGCAGCCCTTGCTATGTTTTTATTCCGTGCAGGTAACCCTGAGTCCTCAGCAGACTGTTCTGCCGCTAGTGGATGAGGCACTGCAACACACTACTACCAAGGGCATTGTTTATCAACACCCAGAGATTGTTGCACAGATGAATCTGGTGAGACAAGATCTCCATTTAGAACCATTTTACTGGAAACTTCCAGAACAATTTGAAGGAAAGAAGGTAAGAAAAGGAACTTCAAAGTCACATGAGAACAAAGTAAAATATGTTTCTAGAAGTATACCATCTGGAGACTTAACTAACTCATCACTCCTCATTGTATTTTGCTAGTTGATGGCCTATGGTGGCAAACTCAAGTATGCAATCTATTTTGAGGCCCGGGAAGAAACAGGTTTCTCTACCTATAATCCTCAAGTTATCATTCGAGGTGGGACTCCTGCTCATGCTAGAATTATCATCAGGCACATGGCTGCTCCTCTAATTGGCCAATTGACAAGGCATGAAATTGAAATGACAGAGGTAAAGTTATTAGCTGTTTGGTGTAAAGATACCAATTGTTTTGTATTCAGTCTTGTCAGCATGGTTTCATTTCTTTTTAACAGAAAGAATGGAAATATTATGGTGATGATCCTCAAATCAGTAGGACTGTGACCCGTGAAGATTTCTTAGACGTACTATATGATATTCATTATATTCTTATCAAAGCTACTTATGGGAATATCATGCGACAAAGCAGGTAACTACGATCAAAAATATTTATTTTTTTTTTTTACTAGAGCCATTAAGGGAGATAATTTCTTTTCTTTTCTTTTCTTTTTTTTAATCAAAGAAATATTTAAAAGTTGTTGGTTTTGGAATTTGGTGATAGAAGACAAGTCAAGGATGGCTTCCAGGTCATTAAGTAGATGTTACTGCAATTGATCAAAAGAGTGAAATAGGATGAAAAGCAAGAGTAGGAGAAAAATACTGAATTCACTTTAGACATGGTGAGTTTAAGATGCCAGTAAAAATTTGGGCAACAGTGTTCTGGGACAGATGACTAATTAACAATTGTGCTTTAAATGGGTTACATGTATACTCAGAAAGTGACTTCACTCAGCCATTATAGGAACCAGGAAGAACCAAATTAGTCCAACATTCTCCAACCTTGAATAGTCTCATTTTTTCAAAGTAGTATGCCATAGAATATTGTCATTTTCCATATACCATTATGTGAAATAAGTAGGAGTCATAATGAAGGATGGGTAGAAATTATATCTAAAACCATATAGAAAAGTCAATGGTAGGGATCTATATCTTATTCATCATACTTATTCAATCATCAGCAGAGTTGAGGTA